CAATTCATACATTTGAATCATTGGGGTATAATTTCTCATTTTTCTGATTGTACAGATTGCAGAATCACACTAGTCATAGAGTCATCTATATTCCAGTGAGTTGTTAATGTGCTTTCACTTGAGGTGCTTATCTTGTGAATGGTTCTGTTCCATTTTTTTTTTTTAAAGTAATTGACAGCTGAGCTCAGGCACTTGCAAAGAGAAGTTCCATCTTGTCCCACTGTGGGGCTGAAACTTSTATTGCATGTGGTTCTGCCTCTCCTGCCTGTGGGCAGAGTGTTACTGTCCACAAAACTACAGTYCCTTACTGTTGCTCCATTGCTTTCCAACACACCCATGGAAGTCTGGGGAAGTTAGTATTAGTAGGAACCAGAAGAGAAGCAGCAAAGGTAGAAAGAACAAAGTCTCTCTGCTTTCACTTGGAGAACAAGCACGTGCAAGAGAATTACCACTTCTCCTTTTTGCCTTTCCTTAAGTATATCTATTTTAAGATTTTTCATGTGATAGTGACACTATTAATGCTGAATAAACTAGAAATGAGAGTTGTGTTGTAGGAGTAAAAGAGAAATTACAAATGTGTGTGTTGTATGGATTATATTTTGATGCTGATTTGAACAATTTGAACTTTCAAAAATAATTTACAGGATCAAAACTGAACTGGCTATGTGATGATATTAAGGAATTACTGCTTAACATATTAACATGATAATGTTTAGAAGAAAAAATTGTCCTTATCTTTTAGAGATACATATTGAATTATTTATGGATGAGATGAATGATTTTGGGGATTTTTCTATAAATTAATCAGAAATGAGGGTGGTGGGTAGTATATAGATGAAATAAGATTGACCATGTGTGGGTATATTTTTTGGAGTTGAATGATGGCAATTCAGTGTGCTAGTTTTTCTCATTCTGTTTGAAACTTTTCATGACAGAACAAAAAGTTTTATGCATTAGGTAATTCAGATGTGGCAAAATTAATGCAACACATATCAGTGGTTTTGTTTTTTGCCAGGCTAAGGTACACTTTTTGAAAGTTTTTTTTTTCCCCAGGTGAAAATGTTATTTAAAGAACAACCAGCAATATATTTATATTTTCTTAATCATATAATAACTTAATGTCATCTGGATTTTTTCCTGGATTAAATCAGCTATGTGGGGAAAAAGAACCCAATATAGTATTTGAATCATTACAAAGTTGCCTTCACACTTTTTCAGTGCACACACATGCATTTTTACTTAGTTGCAATCAACCATCTATGTTGGGGTTTTGCTTTTTGTAAAYAATAGCTTATCTTCATTCTTTGTTYAGAGCCTATAGTCTTGTTATTCTCATCACTGTGTCATTGTATCACACARGTGCTGTATCCTGTGTTGAGTCATTCTTATATTGAGTAAATTTTGGTTGTTGCCAAATTCTTTGCTTTTTAAATTTTAATAGTATCATTAATACTTTCACAACTCTTCATTAGAGGCTTCATCACTGTTTCTGTTTTATTGATGAAGAAGTTATTCTGTAAAGGTCAAATACTTATAAGTATGGCTGCTATACATTTTGATTTCTTTTTTTTTTTAAAGAGAGAGAGAGAGAGAGAGAGAGAGAGAGAGAGAGAGAGAGAGAGAGAATTTTTTAATATTTATTTTTTAGTTTTTGGCGGACACAACATCTTTGTTTGTATGTGGTGCTAAGGATCTATCCCGGGCCACATGCATGCCAGGCGAGCGTGCTACCACTTGAGCCACATCCCCAGCCCCAATAAATTTTGATTTCTATTGTTATGTTGTTAAAAAACTTCTTCAGTGTTTAGCTCTTTAACTARTACAAACATGAACCTTCAATTAATTTTATTTCAATATGTTATCCAATTGTTTTGAAAATTCTACCAAGGAAAATGAATTAACTAAAGCTTTTATGTATTTACAGTTTGGATGACTTCAGTAATTGGATTTCTAAGGCAATAAATTCTCGAGAAACTGATCGCCTCATCAATTCTGTGAGTTATTGGGATAGATCACGCATTGTCTGGTTTTCTAAATTTGGAGTTCCTAATTTCTTATTTAGTAAATAGTATTGCCCAGCTCAATAAACTTTGTTTACATTATGGAAAAACCAGGTTGAGGATCCCAAATTTTTACCCCCATGGTGCTAGGGATTGAACACAGGGCCTTGCACATGCTGACAAGCACTCAACCACTGAGCTACATCCCAGCCTGACCCATATCCTTAATAAAGAGCTGCCTAGTCCTCAGCTTCTGTGAAGGCTCCACCCTTCACTTTCTTCAGAGGGGACATTTTCCAATCTGGAGGCAGCACTGTTCAAACCTTTCAGTTAAGTAAAGATTGTCAAGATCAAAACCAAAGAATATGGGACATTGACATTAACTCTATAATTACCAATGGCCCACTCTAATGATTAAATATTTCATGAAATTTGTGCTAATAAATTATGGGCATGTTTGCTTCTGTCCTTGTACTTACTCAACAAAATGCACCAAAAGCAAATAAAATGGAAAACCAAAATAAAACTAAACAAAACTAAATAATTATTCAGAAAACTATCTTTAGTTTTCCACTAATATTTTTTTCCTAATATATTGAGTAATGAAATTTACTCCTCCCTTTTATTGATTGTCATCTCTTTCTCTATTTTTTCTAAAGGAGCTGGGGTCCCCAAGCAGGGCAGACCCTCTTAGTGGTGATATCCAACCAGAAATGTGGCGCCAGGTGGGCTCGCCATACCGTCTCCGTTGTGTGGACACATTCAGGGGGTATGTGAGGCTCCCTTGTGACATGGTGGGCACAGGTCCTTGATGGATTGTGTAATTACACGTAAACACACTTAACTTGAGGTATTTTTTACATATCCATTACTTTCTAGGCTAGAAAGTATTGTTTGGATATAAAAATAAAGTCTGCAGTCTTTCCTTACTTGAAAATTGTCACGATAAGTGGTTGAGACATAGCTCAGTGGTGGAATGTGTGCTTAGCATATACAAGGACTTGAGTTTGATCCCCAGCACTGCAAATTTAAAAAATAAAGAAAATTGTTATGATGTCCATTATAGTACATTGATAAGAGGAATAGGACAAGGCCAGAGCCAGTTTCTACTACTATATACAGTCTGCTGAGTTAAGGTCATTTGCATTTGAGCAAATGGCTATACTTGGGACTATAAACTGGGCCACCATGTCYAGTCAGTAGCTTGACAATTTAGAAGATATGCCAGTCCAGAAATGAAACACCAGCCTGTGGAAGAGTAAGTGGTCATCCTTCACTGTTGGTGGAACAATTTGAAAATCAGACTCTTTTGATAGCAAGTCCATAGTTATACCATTCAGTTTTGTTTCATTTACATCTAAACATAGCCTGAAGGTAATTTCAGACAGTCTTCTTAGTGTGCCTGTTTTGTTTTGTTTGGTGCTGGAAATTGATTGTAGGGTTTCATACATGCTAAGCACATGCCATGCCACTGAGCTACACTGCCAGCCCCATGCCTGCATTTTGACTGTGACTTGTCACATGAGGTCAGGTGTGGAATTTTCCATTYATGGCATCATTTCAGCCCTAAAAAAGTTTTGGTTTTTGGAGCATTTTAGATTAGAGATACTCAAGTAAAAACAATATAGCAATAATGACAATAATAAATTTGCTAACAGTTTTAAAGTTCTGTGTGCCAATGTGTTAGTCAGTTTTTCATCACTGTGACCAAAATGCCTGACAGGAACAACTTTTAGAGGAGAAAAAGGTTATCTTGTGGTCATGTTTTCAGAGGTTCAGTCCATGCATGATTAACTGACTCCATTGCTCTGGGCCCAGGTGAGGCATAACATCATGGTGGAAGGGTGTGGTGAAGGAGAGCTGCTCAGCTCATAGCAGCAGAGGACAGGGACAAAATATATTCCCCAAATGATCTATTTCCTTCAGCCACGCTCTATCTGCCTTCAGTTACCACCCAATAATCCAGCAAATGGATCAGTCCACTGATTAGGTTATGGCTTTTGTAATCGAATCAGATCTTCAGGCATTGCCACATGAACCTTTTTAGAGATATCTCATATCCAAATAACAGCTATCACTTCCCTAACTTGTCTTAATTTATTTAGTCTCTTTATTCCTATAGGTATACACTTTTAAATTTATTTATTTTTTAGTTGTAGATGGACACAATATCTTTATTTTATTCATTTATTTTTTATGTGGTGCTGAGGATCAAATCCAGTGCCTCATATGGGCTAGGCAAGTGCTCTATCACTGAGCCACAATCTAGCCCCAGGTACACACTTTTAATATGTCTGTTTCACAGATGAATTGAGCCAAGGAGTTAAGTAATTTTCCCATGGTCACTCAGGTACTAAAGCCAGAATTTGATTCTAGTTAGTTGAGTTACAGAGGCCCCACAAATTATTCCCTTATATACTAAAGTCTTTATTTTCTGCATTCTGCACAGTTAGCACCAAATGATAGCGTATTCAGAATCTACTGTTTTCTTCTTTCTTTCCAATCATCATTGCCAGTTTTGAAGAAAAGATATTTACAGGTGAACAGAAGCTAGCATTTATTAAGTGCCCTAAATGTTGCCAACCACATGGTCATGTGGTAGGGTATTGTACAGAGTTAATGAATCTTAGTGTAAAGTCTCATGACTAATAAGAGAAAAAGACTCAGGATATGAATCCTTAGCTCTTTGATTCCAGTGACTCTGTACCTTCTATAACAGTTCTTTAACCTGAGACATCAAATTATTGGCACACAATTGAGTTACTGGAAATGTTTTGCTGTGTTCCCAAGTTATATAGCTTAGTAGTAGAGTACAATTTTTTTTTAAAACATGTTGGAAATATTTGCAACAGAACATTAGTGGATGATCCTAATTGTTGTGAAAATTGTTGCGGACAATAGTGTCTTGCCTTTATATTTCTTCTGGTGATACAAACTGCTGTGTAGAATCACATTATTGCATGACTAACCTTGTGAGTATAAAGGAATGTCTTGGAGTTCAGCCGTTCTTTGTCACCTTGCAGACCGTGAAAGTGTTCTTTTTGTTGACTTTACAGGCTAGCTCTCATACTCATGGTTTTTGTTAATTATGGAGGAGGAAAATATTGGTACTTCAAACATTCGAGTTGGAATGGTAAGTTACCTCAAGGTAACTTTGCTTGCAGTTTCATTCAGAGAACTGGCATCTGAAGAATCATTCAGCATTTCCTCTAAGGGCTCCAGAGATGAGGCCCTACCAACCTCTTCTGAGCTATTGAGCTCTTTCCCCCAGAGAATGACCTTTAGATTTTTCTGTGGGCCCTTTAGTTTCTTGTGTGCTGCGGATCTCTAATGTGTGGATCTGATCTCTAATGTGTGGATGCTTCACTAGAGTAACAGGAAAACTAAATATTTCTGCTGACACTTGGAACTCAGCAGAAGATGTGAAGAATTTGGTTTTAAATGATCATTGTCATAGATATGACAGCTACCATATTCTTGGGGAGTCTATCTTTTAAGACTCATGGTCCTTTTYGGTGCTATCAAACTGGGATTGATCTGAGTGGTGCTGAATCATAGCTGTAATCTGGCTTGGCAGTTGGTTTAAGAATAGATTTTCTAGGAACCAAGAGAATCATTTAGAATACTTACCTCTTACGGACCACTGATTTTTTTTTTTTTTTGTACTGAGAATTGAACTCAGAGGTGCTTAACCACTAAACCATATCCCCAGTCCTTTTAATTTTTTCTTTTGAGACAGGATCCCACTAAGTTACCTAGGTCCTTACTAAGTTGCTGAGCTGGCTTTGAACTTGGCGATCCTCCTGCCTCAGCCTCCAAAGTTGCTGGGATTACAGGTGTGCAGCACTGCACCTGGMTGGACCAGTAATTTTTGTGAAATTCCAGTAGTCTTTGTCCTGGACAGTTCATATATGTAGAGGGCTGGGGAAAGATATATAAATGGGGCTCATTGTGATCATGTTTGACCATTGGTACCCGGGTTCCATGTATTGATTACTGGGAGGGAATTCATGATGTCATTGCAGGTCCATGGGTGAGGCACTTCTGCATCAGATCTGGAGCCCAAATGCTTGTAGGACCCAAATTGTATTCAAGTATTTATTTTAAAACAAAAGAGTCATGTCTCCTATTTGTGCCTAAGTGTTAGCTCCTTTTTATGCAGCTGAACATTTACAGTTACATTGTCCATTGGACATTCTGCTGCAAAACAGAGAACATCTTGGGGGGGGGAAGCAATAAATTTTGAATAGCATTGTATAAAGCTAGCAAACTTATCTACATATTTGTAATTTATTGTCTCATGTTTAGATATGGTCAGGAAATGTTCCAAGCCCATGGAATGGCTGCAGAGTCTCAAGAGAGTTTGTGTGTGTGTGTGTGTGTGTGTGTGTGTGTGTGTGTGTCCTCTATGTTAGTTGTACTTTCTGTGTCAATTACAATTATGTTCATTTTGAATTTAAGAAGTATTTATATTCAAGAATCCTCTTTCCATTTGTGCTTGTGTTATTCTGCAGGACTGACAGTGGCTGACCTTGTGTTCCCATGGTGAGTTGGCATTCTAACCATCAGCTCTTCCATGRGCATCTCTAGTTCTTTCTTTCAAATGATGCTGGAGGCCTTCTCTGAGACCAGCCTTGAGTTGTGCACCATAGGCCTGTGTTGGCTGTTACAGAGTCCTTCCAAAAGTTGCATCAATGGGTCGTTGTTATACTTGGCTTCATGTTTGTGCATGTGTGTAGAAAAGATGAATGTTTTTTTGTTTTTCTTTTGTGGCTCTGGAGATKGAACCCAGGACCTTGTGCACACTAAGCACATGCTCTCCCATTGAGCTACAGCCCTATCCCAAAAGATGAGTGATTTTTTAGGGAACATTATGTTGAACAGATAAGATATACTAGATCCTAAAATCCTATATTATAAATTTTGAATATATAGTTAAGTTCTACTAGTCCCAAAATGCATATAAAATCATATTTTCTGAAAGAAACATAGTATGTCTGTGAATAATGATAAATATGATGCAAGCARTGACAGTAATAAATTGAAATTTATTATAATAGTGCTATCCATACTCTGTTCATCCAAGGCTTCTCATTTTTGTTCAGGGACACTTTGTATATGTTGTGCAATTTGTGTCTTTGCTGTGATGCTTTGAGCACCTTCTCTCCATTATTAAGAAAGAGTACCAGAAGATTGTTATATATTGTTGGCTCCATTTTTCAACACTGATGAAGTCTTGATTTTTTGAGATGCGTATGGGTAGGGCAGTTTTACATAGGTGAAGACCTGGTAGTTCTCTCTTTTTTTTAATTGATTTTTTWAAAAAAATAAACAACAGCAGAATGCATTACAATTTTTATGACACATATATAGCACAATTTTTCATATCTCTGGTTATATATAAAGTATGTTTACACCAATTCGTGTCTTCATACATGTACTTTGTATAATGATGTCTATCACATTCCACTGCCCTTGCTAATACCCTGCCCCCTCCCTTTCCCTCCCACCCCTCAGCCCTATCTAGATTTCATCTATTCCTCTTATGCTCCCCCTCCCTACCCTACTATGAGTCAACCTCCTTCATATCAGAGAAAACATTCAGCATTTGTTTTTTTGGATTGGCTAACTTCACTTAGCTTTATCTTCTCCAACTGCATCCATTTACCTGCAAATGCCATGATTTTGTTCTCTTTTATTGCTGAGTAAAATTCCATTGTGTATGTATGCCACATTTTTTTTTATCCATTCATCTACTGAAGGCATCTAGGTTGATTCCATAGTTTAGCTATTGTGAGTTGTGCTGCTGTAAACATTGATGTGAGCTGAACAGAGAGCATACATCTGGGAGCAAGTTTTTACTCCTCACACATCAGACACTTCTCAGAAGACGATATACAATCAATCAACAAATATATGAAAAAATGTTCATCCTCTCTAGCAATTAGAGAAATGCAAATCAAAACTACTCTAAGATATCATCTCACTCCAGTCATAATGGCAGCTGTTATGCATACAAACAACAATAAGTGTTGGCGAGGATGTAGGGAAAAAGGTACACTCATACGCTGCTGGTGGGACTGCAGATTGGTGCAAGCCAATATGGAAAGCAGTATGGAGATTCCTTGGAAATCTGGGAATGGAACCACCATTTGACCCAGCWATTCCTCTCCTTGSTCTATAATCAAAAGATTTAAAAACAGCATGCTACAGGGACCTGGTAGTTCTCTAAGTATATTCCCTGTGGGATTCCCTATAGGAAAGTTCCTGTTTGTAGAGGAGTTTTCTGATTAGATTGATCCTAGAAAGGAAACTAAGGCATCTCTGAGAATACAGCAAGAGCAAGTTCTCACCTCCATAATCCTTTGCAAAATAACTAGGAAACTTAATATTAGAATTTTCATTAAAKAGAGAATTTTGCATGATAAAAGAAAGGGGAAATACGTGTGACTGACTAAATGGAGAAAAAAGTTAAGCTTTCATTTTTGGAGGGAGCAGGAGTGGATTTAGAAATGATTGAAGTGTTTGGCTTGTTTCTCAAGGTCTGTGAGGGTATGCTAATAAAAAATCAGTTATTTGGATTGTGGCATCTTTCTTATAATTTCTCTTTGACAACTGTTTGGGAGAGTTGTCCTTGGCAATTCCACTTAATACTAAAGAAGTTTCCTCCTAAAATAGAACTTGGATATATGTTGTCAAAACCTCACAGCCCACCAGGACTATGTTCTGATTCTTTTCTATGTTATTAGCCCAGCTTGATTTCATAATTGGCTACTTTCAACTGAATGTACTGCTTCTATCATGTAGTATATTATAAAATATTAATGATATTTAGATAAAAAATTAGTAATTGACCACCTATTTTTAACCCACTTTTTATTATTGGTGCACTGTAGTTGTACATAATGATGGGGTTTGTTGTTACATATTCATACAAAATGACCACCTATTAATAGCATGTTTTGTTTTTTAGGTTTGTATTTATCATGGGATCTTCAATTTTTCTATCAATGACTTCTATACTGCAGCGAGGATGTTCAAAATTCAAATTGCTGGGGAAAATTGCATGGAGGAGTTTCCTGTTAATCTGTATAGGAATTTTCATCGTGAATCCCAATTATTGTCTTGGTCCATGTAAGTGTTTTTTTTTTTTCCCTTTTGTTGGTATATATTCACTTGAAAGTAGAAAAATCATGTTATTTATTTATTTATTTATTTATTTTTGTGGTGCTCGGAATGGAACCCAGGTCCTTGCAGATGCTAGACAAGTGCTGTACCTCTGAGCTACACCCCCAGGCCTATATGTTGTAATCTGAAAGAAATGTAATTTCTCCATCTCAGGTACCTGCAAAAAGAAAAACTTTAGAAAAATACATACAATACTTGTGTAACTTTGGGCATCATCAACATTATTATTATCTTGGAATTTTAGACCTGGCAGCAATCTGAACTACTCAAACTCTTCTGTTGTATGAGAGAAATATCCAATGCCAAGAAAGATTGATGTGTTTTCTCTGGATCATGAGGAGCAGGGCAGAGGGCCAGACCAGGTTACCTTGCTCTCAAGGCCCTGCTCTGCCATTTTGGATTCACCAACTTATAGTTTGGGGTGATAGTTTAAGAATTTACCTTCATCATCCCTTGTATGCTAACTGGCTGTCTGGGAAGGATGATGTCTTTGTCATTACTTTGTTGGTTGCAGTGAGTGAGACCGGATAGCTGAAGAAAGGATATCAATTCTGCACTTTATACCAGTATCAGAATCAGGAAAGGCAGTAGTCACTGTCCTCAAGGGGCTTACTCTGTCATTAGYTAAAGAGGACACAAATGTCTGGGTAGTAGCCAGTCAAGCCCCAGGCAATAAATCATTTTATTGAAAGGCTATAGGCACTAAGAGGAAGTAGAGATTATTTCTGGTTGGTRTCACCTAAAAGCTGATTTAATGCATTTCCAAAGAATGAGCCATTGCTCCCAGTAGTATTCATCACAGAGTTTTTTATAGGGTTGTACTCTTCCATTGGTACAGTCCCGGAGCTTGTTGGGCAAGGAGAGTCAGTCACTGTCTTGTGTTGGGTCTGCAGATTCCTGGTGGATTTGAAGGCCAAAGTTATCTTTGTTTTATCTTTGTCCCCTGAGTAAGACACGTTTATTCTTGGTCTCCCAGTCGGCCAGCTTCATATTTTGAGGATGAGCCATATTCCTGACCATCCTTCTGATGAACGTATTGGTCTGTTCTTGGAGCTTGGATTTGAGCCTTGTCTTCTGACTATGTATATTTCTGCTCCAAGAACTTAAAAAGACTTATTTAGATGTAATAAGAGTATGTCTTCCCTTCATTAAAAAAGTAAATTGTTTTGGAATTCGATGAGAAATTTTGGGTAATGCCTTACCTAACTTGTATCTTCTGCAGTGTCTTGGGATAAGGTGCGAATTCCTGGTGTCCTGCAGAGGTTGGGAGTAACTTACTTTGTGGTTGCTGTGTTGGAGCTCCTCTTTGCTAAACCCATGCTTGAAAATTGTGTTTTGGTGAGAAATCACGGTTTTGTTGTTGTTTCGTTTTTTTTWAAAGAGACATGAAAAAGTTCACTTTGTAGTTTTTAGTATTTTTTTAAGTTCTGATTATAATAGTGTTTGTACTAATCAAATGTATTCCTTCCCTCCTTTATCAAGCTATTTTTATTTAATCTCTGTCATTGTTATTATCATTTTTTTTTTGATGCTTGGGATTGAACCCAGGGCCTGATGCATGCTAAGCAAGTGCTCTACCATTGAGCCACATTCTCAGCCCCCTGATTTCTTTTTAACTAATATTTTTACTGTYAGAGAGAAAGAGAGAGATAGACAAACTTTATATGTATTAGATAAAAATTTGAATTACAGCTATAGAGATCAAAAGAATAATCACTTGGAATTTCTCAAATACGTGTGCTATTCTGTTTGCATTTGGTTTATATGTGTTTTTTTCTTCTGCCCTCAGGAGAGAAGCTGCCCTTTTCTTCGAGATATCACTGACAGCTGGCCCCAGTGGCTCTTCATTCTGATTCTGGAAAGCATTTGGCTGGGCTTAACGTTCTTATTACCAGTTCCTGGGTGCCCTACGTAAGTGAACCCTTGTCCTACATAAGTAAGCCCTTTTCATATGTCACTTTCTGCCAAGTGAGAGGTTCTGGGCTTTCAGCTTTCAAATTTCTCAAGTCAGAGGAATTCTATTTCACTCTTCTACTTTGGGGCATACTTGGCATTGGGAGAGAAGTTTGGTGTTTGGTCAGCTTGTGTAGAAATTGTGTTTACTACCTTATCCATGCGGGGAGCCATCAAGTCGAAAGAGCATTAATGAGAGTGCTTGGAGCCAGAGGGATGTTTTTGGCTTATACATGTTTGAGGATCTTTGAATTGGGCTGCATATAGTCACTATATACCACTCTGCCTTCTGAAGTCTTATAATTTTTTTTTAGTTGAACATGGACTCAATACCTTTGTTTTACTTATTTAATTTATGTGATGCTGAGGATTGAACCCAGTGCCTCACATGTGCAAGGCAAGCGCTTTGCCACTGAGCCACAACCCTAGCCCCTGAAGTCTCATAATTTAAGTATGTTTTTCACTTTCCTAGTGGATATCTTGGCCCTGGTGGTATTGGAGATTTTGGGAAATATCCAAATTGTACAGGAGGAGCTGCTGGCTACATTGATCGCCTGCTTCTGGGAGATGATCATCTTTACCAGCACCCTTCTTCTGCAGTACGTGAGACTGGCAAGTCCTTGGACCTGGGAAACTTAGGGTCTCCAAAGTGAGGGAAAATAAAAAGAACGACCAGTTTTAGACCATGTAAAATGTTCAGCTATGTAAAATGGGATGGAAACTAAAAGTTGTCTACCTTAATGACTTCAGCATTCATTATGTGGCAGTAGATGAACATTATTTTTAAGGATAAAGTGATAATGCATTGTATCAAATGAGTAGCACTTTAGTGCTTTTCTATATATCTCAGGTCAGATTTCTAGGCAGTGGAGTTTGAGAAAGAGCTTCACGTGCTAGAAGTGTAGTGGGRAGTCCTTGGTGGATCAATCCCTGTTGAAGAATGAAGGAAGCGGGACTTGGTTGAGGGAGAAGCTGAACTGCACTGTGGTTCTGACAAAAGCCCCAGTTAATCTCATTTGGAGCTGGGGGCATGTCAGAACTGCTCTGTGTGTGCTGAGAAATTAGACCTTTTATATTCCTTGTCAGATATGAACTGCTTCCAACAAACGGGTGATTCCTAGATAGGTAGACTTCTCCCCCACCCTCACCTTGCTGGGAATTGAACCCAGGGTCTCGTGCATGTTAAGCAAGTGCTCCATCACTGAGCCATGTACCTGGCCTAGCAGCTGACTTTAGTCACAGACAATCCAGAAGAGAAACTTGGCTGAGAACTTTTGGCAATTAATATTTCTAGCAGCTGGGGTAATGAATGCTTTAATCCTGAAAGGGTTGGAGGGATCTTGATGGTGTGCTACAGCATTTACTACCCTGAGTACTTCCGAATTTCTACATTTCAGCATTTATTTTATAATAAAAAATACAAGTATATTTTATTTTATATTTGTTTTATTTTATTTTGAGAGGTGCTGGAGATGAACTCTAGGYCTTGTACATGCTAAGCATGCACTCTACCACTGAGCTACACCCCCCACCCAAATGTATTTTTAGGGGTTATTTGCCTTAAAAGAAGATAGAAGAAGATAGGAAGCTGTTGATGCTACAATAGGGTTGGTAAAAAAGAAAATAAGTATGCCTATTACAAAGACTAATATATTGCACCTGAAACTTGTCAGGCTTGTGGTGCCAGGCTTGTTCCAAGCCAGATGGAGTTGAAGTAGCTGCTGTTGAACCATGGCTTATCCCTGGTGCTGTGCATTCCCTATATATACCTTTCATAACCTGGAGTATTTTGCCTAGAATCTCCATAAGTTAGGGTAATGGATTTCTGTAGCAAAATCCAAAAGAAAAAAGAAAGGAACCCAGAAACATTGGAAACACCAGAATTCTTTCAAGTTTGCATTTAATCTAAGAGTTTCTTACATTCATTTTTGTGGTCAGTGAGTGAGTGCTACTTTCTTGTTCTACTTTGTTAAGGTCCTTTATCACACCAAGGTGGCCTACGATCCAGAAGGAATCTTAGGAACCATCAATTCCATTGTGATGGCATTTTTAGGAGTTCAGGTATTAATTTATTTTATTAGGGTATGTTTTTCTAACAGCTTATGGTTATTGATTCATCACTAATTTGAAAGCATTTTATTAAAACAAAGCAATTACAAGCATTTTCTCTGTTACTGGTCTAATAAATTTTAATTGGGTTTGTCAGATTGTGCAAAACTAGAATTTGTTAAAATTGAGCACAAATAGTTGGATACAATTATTATATTCTAAAAATATTATTTATGTGGCTTATCTTAGCCCCATAATTTCTGGATAAAAGATTTCCCTGTGGGATGTGCAGAGGGTTTGGATATTGGTAACCTTAGGAAGTCACCMTGTCACTTATCACATTTCTTTCTGTCTTGGAATGTTTGTGCTTCTGTGACRAAACTGAGACTGSATAATTTATAAAGAACAAAAATTTCTTTCTCATAGTTCTGGAGGATGAGATGTCTACGATCAAGGTGCTGGCACTGGCAGGTTCTTTGCCTGGTGAAAGTCCAGTCTCTGCTTTTGAGAAGGCACCTCAAACAGTGTGTTCTCCAGAGGGACAAGCACTATGTCCTGTGTGGTAGAAAGTGGAAGGGCAAAGACAAGGAACATTTTATCTTGAGACTTTTTATAAGGACATAAAATCTCTCATACATAATCACCTCCCAGAGGCTCTGYACTCTTTTCAACTTAGTGTTTAGCTATACACATGTGCATTTGGTACTGGGGATTGAACCTAGGGCTTCACCCATGCTAGGCAAGTTCTCTACCCCTGAGCTATATTATACTCAACTCTTTTAAATATTTTGTTTTGAGACAGATCTCGCTAAGTTGCCCAGGTTGGCCTTGAACTTATCATCTTCCTTTGTTAGACTCCTCAGTGTGTGTACCACAGCTAGACATAGTATGCATGTATATTATTATAAGTTATAATTGACAAGGTCAATACAGGTTATTCTTAATCTATCTCACATGAAATTTTGTTAAAATTCTGAGCAGTCTCTGTTTTTCTTCCAAAAGTTCTTACTGGTGATATTTGAAACTATCAGTTTTCAGGGAATGAACTGAGAGTGTTAAAACGTATAAATCAGTGCTAATAGAACTTTTTGCAGTGATGGGAATTTTTATCTGTGCCATCCATTAGGGCAGCCTCTTGCCTGGATAGCTCTTGAGTTATTGAAATGTGACTAGTATGACTAAGGAACTGAATTTTAAATTTTACTTCTTTTTAATTAATTTAATTCAAAATGTAAATAGTCATATGTGGCTGGTGGCTCCTATATTGATCCAAACTATGTATATTTTGGTGATTAAATAATTTTATAGTTATAAATCCTGCCTTTATCTCTATAGCACTTTATATTATGATTTTACATATATTCCTTGAACCTCACTGTGTGCTTTCTAGGTCAATCTGTGCCTGTTGGAGCAGTCAGTCTAATGTAGAGGTTAAGAGTGCAGACCTAGAGCTGCACTGCCTGGCTTTGAATCCARCTCTGCCACTTGATAACTGGGTAACCTCAGGCATATTACTTGACCTCTCTGGGCTTCGGTAGCATAGTGGATAGAGATGTTGAGAAGATTAAATAATTTGTATATAATTCTTTGAACTGGCACATAAAAAGTCTGCATAACTTATAGCTATTATAAATTATTATTAACACTTTCTCATCCTCTGATATTTCTAAAAATTAATTTTCAATTTAATGCAAAGAACTATTTTAGTGTTTTTAGTTTACCTGCCCACACTTCCATTCTGTCTCTATCCCTCTTTCGTAATGCTGCCAGAAGGGATGAGCTAGCAGGCTAGTCTGAGCTGGATCCTGTCATTTGGGGGAAAACTTTCCTTGGCTCCCTATCACCTATGGAAGAAAGAGCCTGCTTGAAGCGAGACCTACAAAGCCTACCACCACCTTTTTGCAGTGCCTCCCTCTATCTTTCTGCAGCCCTTTAGAGATGCTGTGGTGCTTTTCCACTCTTTTTGACATGCTTCTGTGCATGCTKTTCCATTATGCTCAGACTGTCCCTCCTGCTTGACCATCTCATGATTGTAGCCTCAGCTCAAGGGTACCACGTCTCAGATGTCTCCCTCCTTCCCTGAAGAGGTACCTCATCTTTTTTTGGTCTCTTGTTTCTCTCAGTCTCCACTAGTTGAGGGCAGAGGTAAAATTTCATTCTTCCTGTGATCCCAGTGTCTGAATGTGTGCTTTGTTGAGTGATTGAAAATACGGGTGAATATGAAATAAGAATATATATCTTAAGTGATTCTCTTGGTCATATTATTTTCTTCTCTAGGCAGGAAAAATACTATTGTATTACAAAGATCAGACCAAAGACATCCTCATCCGATTCACTGTCTGGTGTTTTATTTTAGTAAGTAACGGACATTCCTTATTAAGGAATGGGATTGGGCTGGGATTGTGGCTCAGAGGTAGAACACTTGCCTAGCACATGTGAGGCACTGGGTTCAATCCTCAGCACCACATTAAAAATAAATAGATTGATTAAATAAAGGCATTGTGTTCATCTACAACTAAAACTTTTTTTTTTAAAAAAGATTGATTTTCTTCACACACATGTATATTTAAAAAGAAATAAAATGTTTAGCAACACTGGCACAGTAGCTGTTACCACATTATGATAGGGAATATGCTTCATTTGAATAACAGAGGAACAAATATATAAATTTAAACAAATATATATATATTTTAATTTTTGGTGCTAGAGATCAAACCTGGAGCCTCCTGCATTGTAAGCTCATATTCTACCACTGAGCCCCACCCCCATTCCCAAGAAGGAACAAATCCTTACATCTAAATTTTCAGATTTATCTTCTTAGAAGGATATGTTCTTAAATAAGACAATGTTTCCATCAAACACTGGAATGAGAAATGCCTGAAGAAATGTATGAGGTGTGGGTTCTGCATGTTTGTCAGAAAGACTAGGTAAATAACAACAATTTTGTAAATACCAACTTCCAGATTTATATGTAGAAAAATAATTGAAAATTTGATTTTTTTCCTTTAATCTTGCAATCATGTTTCCTCTTAGGATTCACTATAATTTATCAGTTAGCTTCCCTTCTTCAACTCAGAGTTGAATACTGCAGATTTTTAGTAATCTCCACACTGAACAACATATTCTGTGAAGGTCTGTAAATAAGTCAAAAATAACACCTGATATTTTGCCAGAGAAATGTTAGAGTTGTAAACAAGTCTGGATGGTGTCTGGCAAAATGTCAGAGGGAGTGGTTTGAGAAGTAACAAAAGCGAGCCATTAAGTGTGGAGATTCCTTATTGGTTGATTGATGTATCTAGTTTATGCTAATTAAGATAAGCTGTGCAAAATGTATAAATAGCTCTGTTGCCCTACAATAAATGGCTCCCATTCCTGCTGCATCAATCTACAGAAGTTATTCGTCACCCCCCCGGCTATTCTGCTGCAGCCGGACTGCGGCAATATTCTTTAAAAATATGTTGTTCAGTGTGGAGATTACTAAAAAAACTAGGGATAGAACCACCATATGACCCAGCTATTCCACTCCTGAGTATTTTCCCAAAAGATCTGAAATCAACATAATACAGCAAAACAACCACCTCAATGTTTATAGCAGCATAATTCATAATGGCTAAATTATGGAATCGACCTAGGTGCCCATCAGTAGATGAATGGAGAAAGAAATTGTGGTATATATACACAATGGAGTTCTAATCAGCCATAAAAAATAATGAAATTATGACATGCTGATAAATAGATGGAAATGGAGAATATCACACTAGCTAAAATAAGTCAAGCTCAGAAACTCAAAGGTCGAATGTTTTCTCTCACGTGGAAGCTGGAGTAAAATGAAGGAAAGCGGGAGAGGAGGATAGGATAACATAAAGGGAGGCTCAGTAAGGTAGAAGAAGGAGCTTGAGAGGCAGAGTGGGATGGTAGGGGGAGGCAATGCAGAATGACTTCTTAAACAATCATGTCATGTGAATATGCCACATATATTCACCTTTATACACAAATATATGTGTATATATTCACCTGTATACAAACATAAATATACATCAAATATAAATAGACAAGTGAGGTGAAGTCTAGAGTAGAGGAGGGAAGATGGGAGGGAAAGTGGGGCTCATGAACTGAAATAGAATTTCCTGCGTGTATGAGTTTCTCGGGATGAACCCACCTACTATGTATAACTACAAAGCTCTAATAAAAAAGAATACACTGTGGTTATACATCTTAAAATATGTTCCCAGTCAAAAGAGTAAAATATAAGGCAATCCAATARCTAATTTTTGGTTTTGAAACACAATTATTGAGATTTTAACACACTTCCTTTCCCCTTCATAGGGGCTTATTTCTGTTGCTTTGACAAAAGTTTCTGAAAACGAAGCCTTCATTCCAATCAACAAAAATCTCTGGTAAGTATAGAAAAAAAGTGTCCTTTTAATGTTTGATAATTCCTCGTGTTAAAATTGGCTGTGTTTCTCATGAGCACTAAAGTACCTCATCCATTCAACTCCTTAAAGGTCGATTTCATATGTCACCACACTGAGCTCTTTTGCCTTCTTCATCCTGCTGGTCCTATACCCAGTTGTTGATGTGAGAGGACTGTGGACAGGAGCCCCCTTCTTTTATCCAGGTAAGTCACCTCTAAATGCAAACAGAGTTGCTGATGGTGGCCCAGAGACCTACTGAGCTCCACTGGTGCTAGGGACTGGAGCCACCATGTTTCCAAGGAACACACTGAGGGAGACAGCTGGCCTGTTCTGAAGAGGCCCTCCCCATTTAGGTTCTGAGTCATTGTATGACAATTAATAAGCTCTACTTCCAGACAGTGGCAAATCGTGGAGCATCAGAAACAATCCAGCGCATTTTACTTAGTTTTTAATACTTAGAAATGAGACTTTCTTAACACACATGTACTACCTCTAAGATTAGGCATTTTAAGAAATATCAAGAGAGGGATGAAATAATTTAGGTGCAGTTCTACGATTCCTTCAATGACTCATTTTAGCTTTTTTGATTTTAGTAATAGTTACATTCTTTGTACCTCAAGTTTTCTGTCTAAAAAAAGTTAATGTTGTAATTTTCCTTTCATATTTAATATTCAAGAATTCATTGTTGGGCTTAAGGGTATTGCTCAATGGTAGAACGTGTGCTTAGCACATGCAGTGTCCTGGATTCAATCCCCCCACACACACACAAAAAAAAAAATAGAAAAAAGAATTTATCATAAAATGAATATTTTCTAGTAAATTAAAGATACAGTTTACATCTAATATTTCAAACATGCATCACTTATTCTCAACAGCAGTCAGTAATACAAGTGCATGATTTTTTTTTTTTTTTACTGAACTCAATTCAGAAATTAAATAGATGATCCAATGTGATTCAGGAAGAAACTTATTTTCTGTGTCTCTCCTTAAGGAATGAATTCTATTCTGGTATATGTTGGCCACGAGGTGTTTGAGGACTACTTCCCCTTTCAGTGGAAGCTGAAAGATAATCAGTCACACAAAGAACATCTAACTCAGAACATAGTCGCCACTGCTCTCTGGGTGCTCATTGCCTACATTCTCTATAAAAAGAAGATTTTTTGGAAAATCTGATAGCTCCCACTCAAGTGTGTTGTTGGAAGACTCTAGTGGGCCTAGGTAAAGTATTGAAAGAACCTATATTGAGGGGAATCATCACTTATAAAAACAGTGGGATGTATTTCCAGATTTTGGGAGAAGGAGCTCAAGCTGGTTTACTCTGACATGGGTCATCAGAACTCTGTATATTTGTGACATATATTTGGAATGGTATGGTCTATCTTTTCTCCATCTTCTACATAAATGAATGCATTTGGAACTTCATTGTAAGGAAATCTCACTTAACTTTCCAAAAGGGATTTATTATGGGTATTTTGCGTTTATGATGCATAAAACAGTCTAAGGTTTGAGGGCTGGGGATGTGGTTCAGTGGTGCTTGTCTAGCATTTGTTAGGTGAGGTCCTGGGTTTGATCCCCATCACTGCAAAACAAACAAACAAAAGTAACAATCTAAGGTTTGATTCCTACTGACTTTTTTTCCCCCTGAAAATTGCTTCTGCATGTGTACATGCATGCCAACAACAACAAAAATCATGATTTCTGACATGATAGAGTATAAACTTTATTGAATGGATGTGTCATAATGTTTTCTCAATTTTTTGATTTGGTTCAATTTAATGTTTTAGGAAAGCCAAAGTAAGTTTTTTTTTTTTCAGATTATCAAGGCTTTGATGAGTCAAAAAATACCTATCAGAAGCCATTTTCTCTTTTTCCCCCATTTAAAAAATAAATTAAAATATAAATGTATTATTCCCAASCATCTTGATTATCTACCTGTTTAGTTTCCTATTTACCTATGTACTTAGCATCTATCCTTCTATCTCCCTACCTATCATCTCCTGTTACCTACCTGAGTATCTTTTTTTTTTTTTATTGGTTGCTCAAAACATTACAATGCTCTTGACATATCATATTTCATACATTTGATTCGAGTGGGTTATGAACTCCCATTTTTACCACGTGTACCTAAGTATCAGGAATGTACCTGTGGAAGAAATGCACACTGCCTTCACTGTGAGTCCAGCTGTCCCTTCCTGCTGTATAAGACACTGGGCAAGTCCCTTGGGCTATCAGGGCTTTGTTTACCTAATCTRTGATGAGGTAGGGTACATCAATAGCTTTTCTGAAATCTTCAGAACAACAATTTTGTTACAGAAAATGCCTCAAAAGAAATAAGAATAAAAATATTTTTAAAAACTATCATTAGAGTATGTCTTTTTCAAATGATCTTTCACCATGAAGACAGCTTTCCTGCTCAAGATCACAGAACTGAAGAAACAATTTCTTGGGAATGAAGGTAGGAGAACACATGGAGAAAGAGCCTTTATCACACGATACATCATTATACTTAGAATTTTCTGAAGAATTATATACTTAAGGGAAACATTAGGGATGGAATTTTCCTTTAGACCACATCTGTGGTGAGAGGAATCCATCTCCGTTTACTCCGTTTTTTCAACTATTGCCATTTCACAAACAGCCTTCTAGTCTATGTTCCCAGCTCTGCCTTCTGGCCTGGACTCCCACACCCTCTCCTAACTGCCTGCTGGCCCCCTCCTGCTAGAGGTATGCAAGCATCTCAGTCTCGCCTCTCCCCTYCTCCCTCTCCACAAATACAAGCTATTTCCTCTTCATATTTTCCTAGTTCTGTGAMTGGATCAGTCTGTCTCTAGTTATAAAACTGCTCCACCTTGTCACCCACCTTACCTCCGCTCTCCTGACTTCTTTCATATTTCATACATTGCCAGTCCTCTTCATTTTCTCCCGGTAACTGCTTCTTTCTCATGGTCACTACCTCCACTCCACTCCAGATTCATCATCATTTTTCAGCTGGCTTTCTTTTCTCAGTCTCTTCTTCTCCAAAGTCACCTACCTGTTGCTACCAGACTCAATTTTGTAAAACTGAAGGGGTCAAAAATCAACCTCTTTAAACAACTTCTATAAAAATGGAAATATCTTTCCCTGGCATGCATGACCCATGTTCAGCTGATCTCAGCATGCCTTTCCARTACATTTGGGATGTGGTTTCCCCCAACTCCTTTTACCCACTCCACTTATTCCAGCTCGGCTAGAAACCGCCCCATCTCCTAATTATATCTTCCTGGACCTTTTCCCCCTTAATTTCTTCCTCTCTACATTTAAGCTGTCACATTATTTATTTACTTTTTTTTAACATTTAAAGTTAAAAAAAATTAGAAAGTTCATAGCTAAAATGTTCAATTAACTAAAAGAATATAAGGAATGAACTAAGAGAGAAAATGTGGGAATCATTCAATAAAGAGATCATGAAAAGAACAAAACGAATACCGGAAGTGAAAGACTCAATAAATCAAATTCAAAACAGTTGAAAGCATCATCAATAGATTAAATTACATAGAAGACAGATTTTCAAGTCTTGAAGACAAAGCATATATTTTTATTTTTTGGTACCAGGAATTCAATTAAGGGGCACTTAACCACTACCCACATCCCCGGGCTTTTTTGTATTTTATGTAGAGACAGGGTCTCATTGAGTTGCTTAGGGCCTTGCTAAATTGCTGAGGCTGGTTTTAAACCCACGATCTTCTTGCCTCGGCTTCCCAAGCTGCTGGGATTACAGGCATGTGCCACCATGCCCAGTATTAACAAAGTACATAATCTTAAAAATAAATTCAACAATAAAGAAATTAAAAGACCATGACTGAATATTCAAGTAAGCTGGAACAACATTAAGACACTAAGTCTAAGAATCATGGTATAGAAGTCACCAAAATGCAAACTAAAGAAATGTTAAGGCTTTTCAATGAAATAATAATCAGAAAAAAATCAAAACCTTAGGAATTAGATGCAAATCCAAATACAAGAGGTATTTAGAATCCCAAATAAACAAGATCAAAAAAGATTCTAAGACACATTGTAATAAAAATGCCTAATGTACATAATAAGGGTAGAATTTTAAAACCACACACACACACACACACACACACACACACAAACAAAAAAAACAGGTGGTCACACTTAGAGGTAAGTCAATTAAAAGTTTTACTGATTTATCAACCCAGACCCTAAAAGATAGGAGAA